TTTTCTTTCTTTATTTATTTTTTCGACAGCGAAAGGAGATTTAGGTCTTTTAAAGCAATCTGACTACCACTACTCGTTTCCTTTATCAGGAATATTACTGCACACCCTTAATAGGGAACCTTGTTTTGCTACTCCCCGTCTGTTCAAAACAGACCGTAGCCCATTAGAAGGTCCTCCCTTGTGTGGGAAGACCACAGCTGTTACTGTAAATCTCATCCAGTAACTGTATCACCCCCATTTTGTGGCTCTGAAGGATGAAATTGAGAAATGGAATACTGTGCAGTCATCCTTTACATCTCCAATTTTAGGCCTTTGCACATCATTTTCATGCTTTTATTCCAAATCAAACGACATTAGCGAGCGACACCAGCCTGGGCTAAATGCTTAGCGTCTAAGGCAGCACCTACGATCTTTGTTTTTGGAGGATTTAGGATTTGGAGGGAAGTTGGGGGTTTGTCGATGGTGGATTTTTTTCTTTTCTTTTTTATTCCCTCTTTTCCCTCCCTTCCTCCCTCCCACCGGATCTTTCCCACTCCCCAGAATTTGTCAGAAGCAGAAAGCCAGACTGTAGTGAAGTGCCTAAGATGGAGGATGCTCTGTTATCCCTCCGCAGAGGAAGCGAGAGCTCAGCACGGTTAACAAACACAACTTTAAAAAGGTTTCTGTTTCTTTAAATCCTTCCGAATAAAGTGGATCTAACTTCTTACGAAGGATATTGAAGGCTTTAATCAGAAATAAGAAGTGGTTTAAATCATTAGCACAACAAAGCCAAACTATAAGCTTGAAGATAAAAGTCTCAGCGGAAAGAGTCCTCTGAAAATAAATGGGACTTGATAGATTTCCATATCATTTATAACTTCCCTTAATTACACTTGGAAGACTTGCCAGTAAAACTGGAAAATTGGCAGCCTATATCCATTATAGTAATTTTGCCGACCATGGCAAGCAGCTGGCTTTACTGGATTTTATTTCCCATCACTCACAATTAATCATCAGCTGGAGATGTCTGAAACTCCTCAAAACGTAGCAATACTGTGTGACACGCGGGCCTCCTTAAAATGCTGAAATCTGCTGAGTAAATGGCCGAGTTCCCCTTCCAGGGAACTCATTTTGGTGCGAGGCAGGCTGCCGGTTAATGAGTGCCACTTCGATAATCGGATGCGAATGTGAACCCTGACCTCATGTCAAAGGAGAGGACGCAGCAAGCTGGATGAAAGATCGGGGGATTCAGATCTGCAAACTTTACACCAATTAGACAGAGAGCAGGGAAATACATCAGCGCCCATTGGGTTTATCAGAAAGACTTGTGGGGCTTGTGACCATTTTGTAAGCCTAACATTGAAGACGTCCTGTCACAATCGTTAAGCCTTTATCAGATGACGCACAAAAGTCGGAGGAAAGCGGACCGTATTCAGGGAGATCCCGTGGTAGCGATGCCCTCGGGTGTGCGCCGTCTCTTTGCGTTTCTGAGTTTTAACGAGACCTATCCCTAAGTGCAGTTAGTCTTTATGGGCCTTCCGCAGGCGCAAGGAAAACGGCTCGGGGTTACTGGCTTCTCAAATTCTGCTTCTACCCCGGCCTGGGAGTTGCTTGGTCGGGAAACGACCGGAGATGGTTCCCCGCCTGCGAGGAACGCTGCGGCCGGAGCGGATAACCACCACCGTGCAGTCCCCCAGTTCCTCAACCAGCGCTACTGACTGGTCCCAAATTCACATCAGAATCGTTAGCAACATCGAGACATTAAGTACCCTCCTCTTCAATGATGTGTTGTTTTGTTTTTTTTCCTTTTTTTTTTTCTTCTTTTCTTTTTCCTTTTCACTCTGTGGAGAGCAAAACTGAACAGCCACTCTGAACTGCGCCACGCAGAAATCAACTATTAAAATACAGACTGCAGGTCTAACAGTTAATCACTCGTTTATTTTGATATTCCAGGCAATGTAAAGGTACATCTGTCCGTAGCATAACTCTGTGAGAAAGATACCTGAGTTTAATTTCTTTTAAGAAAAGGAGCCCTTGTATTTTACTTGGTTCCAGTCAATCAGATTTTTTTGTTTGATTTTTATTTGCCTGTTTTGACAGATTTGGGTCATCACCGAGACCTCTCTAAATAGAAGTGTAAAGATGGTGGTTTACGTTGGTTTACCGTCCACTGAAAGAAAAAAATTACACGATGAAAATGAGACGTTAAAAATGGTCCAGATAAATCCTTAAATAAGTTAGAAAGCAAGAACTCGTACACATCGCTGTGGTTTTCCCTTTGCAGGCTAAATAACAGGCAAAAGGATATGCGCAATTATGGAATGAAAGAAATTGGACAATGCCCAAAAGACTGAAAAAGAGGAGAGAGAGAGATACAAGTGCCTAATTTTAGGATTTGTCGCTTTGCAACACAATGAGTGGAGCTGTAAAGGTTTAATGTAGGAACAGTAATTAAACTTTTGTGCTTAAGTGACACTTCCATCAAGGTAATTTTCAACAAATTGCCCATCACCAGAAGTTCTGACACAGCATTTTCACACGTGGTACCTGCTGGAAGCACCTCCTTCCTTCCAAATTAGTAAGGCTAGATGTTAACTGAGTACTTTGTCTATATATTTTGTGGGTTGGGGGGGGTGTATTTCCTTCCCAGACGCCACTTTCTTCATCATCAACCCGGCAGGTATTACATAAAACACAAAAACTTTATTTTAGAGGAAGAGGGGAAACTGAGGAGAAATGCAGATTCATGGACATTTCCATCCCACAACCACTAACACTTCCCGGCATTTTAACGCTGTACTTCAGATCTACAGAGACAATTCTGTACTCTTCCTGTAGATATATTGCCAGAACTCTGTTTAGGTAATTGCCAACTGGTTCATTTGAACGCCATCCACCTGATGCAGCCACGTTACAGTTGAATCGCGCAGGGACTCGAGAGAAAAGTTTCTCATGCCTTTGAAATTAAGCCACTCGACTCAGATCTGCACTCCTTAGCATCTTGGTCTTCAGCGACCTTTAGAGACCCGTGTTCTTGACGCTCCGGTAGCTGAGTTTAACCAGAGACTGGCAAATTCATTTCTGAAATACGCTATTAAAAAAAACCCCTCCAACAAATATTCTTGCCTTTTTTTTTTTTTTTTTTTTTAACAGAAGTAGATATTCGTAGCTTCCTCTTAACCTCAGAAATATCTCAAAGTTCAGAGCAGATGGCAGAAAAGCTGAGCAGTGAGATAGGGAGAAGAGGAAAAGAAGGAAGGAAAGGACGAGCTGCTGGGACAGGGCTACAGGCAGAGCAGCAGGTGTGGAAGGAAGGAGACAAAAGACAGGGAAAGGGAATAGAGGGGAAATAACTGGGGACAAAGAACAACTCTTTGATACTATTCACCAAATTTGACACTGCTAATGACTTAAATGCTCGCCTGAAGCTTAGGATGGAATTTCTGCCGGTGAAGTGTTGGGTGGTGGTTATTCTCTGTATCCGGTTAGTAGACCGTGTTCCCATAGCAAACGCTTATTTACCCCCAAAAGCCCGTCAGATTGCTGTTGGCAGTCTCTTGGAGAACGAGTGTGTAAGCGCCTTTTAGCATAACGTTTTTTCTTCTATCTTGCTCAGAATCTGGAGGCGGACATCAATGCTTTCCAGTCGGTGCGAGTGCACGCTTTAGGAAAAAAAAGCTTTATTTAAATTTTCAGAATGTACTTCATGCAATGTGCGTTTGATCTCTGACTTCACACCTGTCTGTTAGACAGTATATGCCTCCAAAATGGTACATGCTTGTCCTTAAATATGTATTATTCATGTTACATATATTTAGAGAAATATATGTATGTGTGTACAGGTATGTATAGAAACAAACACGTTCTGAGGGCACTGGCACATACAGCAATGCATAAACCAGATCTCTGCAGGTCTCAAATTACCCTCTTTAGTGAACCTTTGACATCAGAGTGAAAGCATCTCAAATTTGCTGGGATGACGAGTGAATGGCAGACTGCACCTGCAAAAGAGCCTCAGGAAAAGACTTGCGGTGGGCACTGGGAGCCAGGCGTCCCAGAGAGGTTTGCCTGCGCAAGGCCTAAATACTGGCAGGTAGGGCCCAGCACCCTTCCCTCTCCGGCAAACATCGTCTTCATGGGATGACGGGGTGATCGCTGGGTTACACGAGGGATACGTTCTGAATCCCGTGATTTTCCCCTCAGGCATAGGCAGCCCCCCCCCGCAACCAGCCTCTGCGCAGCGTGGTCCAAGGCATTGGAGGGAGGACCTGACTGGGAGGCACAGGGAGCCCAGCGGAGCAGCCCAGTGAGTTGCTGGTGACCTGGAGCTTGCACGTGCCTGTTAGCAGAGCGCAAACAAGCAGAAAGAGGAAATCTTTCCTTTTAAGAGCTATCGGCAGTGGTGAAAAGGATGGTTTTGCGTCTGCGATGCCTTCCCGGTGGGGTGAGAGGTGGTGGTCCCTTCCGTCACTCCGAAGTTACCAGCCGCCGTCCCGATGCTGGCGCCTGCAGAGGGGCGACTTTCTGCTCAGCATTAGCCCCTTGGGTACTGCCGGAGCTTCCGGGCCCTGCTTCCCCGGACACGTGCCCAGAAAACTTTTGGCTTCTGAATCAGGATTAGTACCCATGGGACCTGTGCCAGGGAAGTGAAGCAAAGGCTCCCCAGCCAGAACTGGACAAATGAAATTTTGCTCTGGATTTAATTGGTGTCGAACTGTGGTGGATGTGAAGTGTGAACTGCAGAAGTTGGAGCTGGGGAGAGGAGCCTTTCGGGTTTGTACGGGCTGCTGGTTTTAAGTAGGTGATTCCTTTTCCCCTATTTCGCTGCCAGTTTTGTCAAAAGCAACTGCCATTTGTGATTGTGGTTTGTGTCGGGGCCGTGTAGCTGGCTGACTTGACTTGTGCGATGGAAGTCTTTATAGCATTTAATGAAATAATCCCTTTATTTTCCAGAAGAATCATACGCACTTAGAGCATTTCAAATCCTCTGTCCTCATTTTGTACCACTTTAATTTTACCAGGTTGCGGAAGGTCAAGAGATTTGTGTAATTGAAGCAATGAAAATGCAGAACAGTATGATTGCTGCTAAAACAGGCAAGGTAAGCTACCTTGGGTCACTTAAAACCATATGCAACTTGTCAAATAGGATAGAATTTAAAAAGGAAAAAGGGAGGATTCTGGTTGTTAAGGAATTAAGTCTGATTGTTGTAAGTCTTTCTTTCGAAGTGAGGTGTCTTTAATTTTTAACATTTGCATCTGCTGTGAATGCTGTTAAGTAGTTCCGAGCCTTAGATAGCACAGCAGGAAATGGTTTTACTGGCTTCAGAAATTCATATAACTCTTTGTCTTCTGAATGATTTGTTTCCTATGATGTTACAATGCCAAGTTGAATTGAAAGGTGTTGCAGACCGTTTCTCCAAATCCCATCTTTCCGGAGAGCAACTGAAGAAGAGGAATCTCTTTGCCAGTTAATTCATTAATGGCAAACAATTTGACATTAAAAAACCCACTCAGAACAAGGCACAGAACGCGATTTTGCAGGAAGATGAGAAAAGCAATTTTTTTATTATTGTGACTGTTAAATACGAAGCCTAGATTTGCAAATGCATTAAGCTTTGCAAGGCTGTGCATTGCGCTCTCTTTGCTTCTGAGGGATCAGCGTTGCAGCTCCTAAGCTGGGACCCTCCTGCGGTGCAGGATGAACCAAAACCAGCGCTCTGGGCGGGGAACTGGTTAAGCTTATATGGCAAGGACAGGCCTTAAACCTCGTCTGGTCTGGGGACTCTCAGCCCCCAAATCAGGGCCTCAGAGCATCCCTGTGCCAGATGATAACTCACAGCCTGAAACCGTCCCCTAGACATGGGCCCCTGATCCATCCTTTTCAAAGGGAGAGCAGAGTCTGGATCTGGATTATGTGTTCTCGAATTTCCTAGCCTGTCCTAGCCCTTCTCTGCCTGGGGACAAGCCCCTCTGCTCTCCCTGAAGCCCTACCATTTTGCTGTTAAAAAGCACAAACCAAGCCCCAGAGCGCGATCCCTCAGCCCAGAGGGAGGCACCAAGGAGCCTGGCTCCCCAGGGCAGGGACGCCCTTAGCCACTGGCAAAGAGTCGCTGGGATCTCAAGATCAGGTTTCTATGCCAAGGACTGTTTGTGTGTTTACAGGAAAGGCTGCTTTGGCACAGCACTAAAATCGCCCCTGAGGCTGGGACCCAGGGCTTGCCTCTTCCAGTGCATCTAGGGCAAAATTGGGTCTGGAGGAAAAAAAATCGCAGAGGGAGGGAGAACGGACCTACTCCTGTTGCTCTAACGTTGCCCCTTTATTATTTTATTCCATGCCTTCATTCCTATATAATTTATTTTCTCACTTAATATTTCCCAGCATTTAGTTTTTCATCGTTGCTTCTTTTGTTTAACCCCTTATTGCTGCTCTCTGCATCCACTGGTTTGAACTAGTGAGTATTTGTAATTAAAATGCCATTCCCTCTCCCCCCTTACCCCCTTTTTATTTTTTACTTTAACCTTCTCTTTCCCCCCAAGGTGTGCTGCAACACGTAGGCCTGTTCCTTAAAATCCTGCTTGTACTTCTCCCAGTAATAAATATCTCCCACTCACTCCGTACAGATGCCACGTAAACCCCACATTTGCCTTATTAACCCTTCAAAGTGGGATGTGAACGGTGCACGGGCCATTCAGTGGGCCCGATGCGCCCCTTGCAGTGACCCCTTGGCGTTTCCATTTTAATAGCAAGCAAATTACTGGATTCTTTAGAATGTGAAGAATTTGAAAAAGCCCAAAAAAGTTTTGGGATGTTTAGAAACCAAGCTGCTAAACAGAATTCATCCCGTTCTGCAGTGCAAAGTCCTGGCTCTGTGTGTGAAAAGAAGTTGGCCCCTCCGCAGGAATGGGATGTTTGGCACTGGCTGTTAGTCCACGTTTCGATGCTTTGAAACCATGTTTTGAAACTCAGTTCGTTTGTCTTCAGCTGGAAGACGTTCCCATTTTCATTCCTGGCTGAATTCCTTTTCTGTATCAAACCCCATCTTCCTGTTTGTAACTGCGAGAAAAAAAATGACTTGTTTTTATCTACTTTTGAGTTTACTCCAGCTGCAGGTGGTTTAAAAATGAGGGAAAGATGGAGAGGAACTGGTTTGCCTCCCGTCTCCGGCCGGACAGCTGCGCGGGGGTCAGAACGGGGAGCTGGCCCCGCCGCCTGTCAAAAATCACTGGGGAGTTTGAAACCCTACTCAGCTACAATGTTTGCTGAACCTTGGCTTTGTAGAAAAAACAAAGAAAGAAGTAGAGTATTTTTCACACTGCTTTCATCTCGTAAAAGACTGAGGCTCGGAAATCGGGTAGGCTGCCTAGCTATTGAATGAGAAATAAAGCCCTTTTTTTGTACCATCTCACGGCGTCTTCGCCCGTGGACAGTGTTCAGCTTCATTTCTTGAGCAGTGCTGTGAATATGCTGCGGAGCCAGAGCTACGCTTACAGCTCGCCTGGCTTTAGACTGTCAAACTCGGACGTGGGCGATAGTGGAGCCGTAGCGGCCTGGTATTTCGGGTGTGCTGCAGATTTCCGTTAGGAGCCCAAGGTAACGTTTGGGTGTCTAACAAGGTTTTGACCAAGGATTTGGGCAGGTCAGCATCAGCTCTGAATGAATATTGCAAGCAAATGCTAATATACAGCTTCAGGTATTTTTCTGGAGCTCCACGTACTGAAAGGGAATTCAGACACGTTACAACCTTTTATAGAGGAAATGAGGGACTCGTAGAAGATATTTGTGTTTTAAAATTCAGGAATCTGGACAGGAGTATATAATTCATCTCCAGATGTAGTTGCATTTATTTGACAGTGGTAGCCCGTTGCCAAGTTCAGTTATGTCAAAAAGATCCCAATTCAGATTTGAATCAAATCTATCCCAGCTGTCGGGGGATTGAGGGAAACCCACCTCATGGCTGCAGTCCCAAAATTCAGTTATACTTAAAATCTATAATGCAAGAAATACTGGAACATTTCATTGAAACATCCAAGCCTGAGTGTTGAAGAGTCACTCGCCCTCTAAAAGATTTAAAATTTTGGTAGTATGTGAACAGCAGTGCAAACAGGTGGAAGAAAGGTGCTTTTTCGTTTTTAAAAGTGCCTTCTCCACCTGACGTTCAGCTCTTTGAGCACCGAAGTCATAAGCAAACCAGCTAGTGGTAGGCGCCTAAATACCTTGATGGAGTTGGACACCATTTGGTCAAGCACTGGAGAGGTGGTGGAGTCTCCATTCTCAGAGATGATACTCAAAACTCAGCTGGACTCTGGACACTGGAGGTCGAGCTGTCAACCTCTTGCGGCCCTTCCAACATACCTGCATCCGTGATCGCGGTGCTGGTCATCGCGTTGCATAGCGGCCATTTACCCTGTGCCTGCACATGTCGTACTCTACATAAGCAACGGCAACCAAACCATTTATTTAACCACGCTAGGTTAAAGGTTTGAAATTATTTCTGTTTCTGTACTGTAGGTGAAAGCTGTGCACTGCAAAGCTGGCGATACCGTTGGAGAAGGAGATCTGCTGGTGGAACTGGAATGAAAGGGTTGCCTCCACACTGTTGAGTCAGCTAAGCCTTTATTATTTTCATCCGTAAAGTAAGATTAAGGCAATTTAACACAGAAAATGGACAGTCCTATGCGCAAGGTTTTATACAGTTGTATTTATTGTATCAGTGGTTAAGACAGCAAACACAGATGTTAAACCTTGGCAACAGATCCCAGATTTTTACTTCCAGAAATACTTGTACATAACCTTTGTAATTCTTTGATTTTTCAGGATCAAATAAAATCAATAAAATACCATTTCTGCTTTAAAACAGGAAAAGCCTCTTTTTTAAAAAAAGGAAAACACAACAAAAGCCCAAGTCCGATTTGTCTTCTCCATGGCAATATCACTGGTTTGAGGCCCCAGCCAGCCTGCACAGAATGGTTGGTAAGAGTGAAAATCAACCACTGAGTGAACCGAGCAGTTCTCCTGCACTCTGTGTAGGCGCTGAACAAGTACTGCCGATGGCTTAAATTCTGATCAGATTTATTGTAAGATTTTGAAGCCTTCGTACGGACTAGATTTAAATCACAGGGTTAGATGTTTTATTTTGCTAGCGCAGACTTTCCCCATGTATTTTCATTTACAGTTGTAAGGGAATCTTCTTTTATTCAGACTCCGTACTCAAATCCCACCCCACCCC